TTTTGCACCTACTATTTATGCTGCTTAATCCCTGTACCTTTTTCTCCCATTCTTCCCTCTTCCCTCCCCTCTGTTTTATGGTTCATAGTTTTTGATCTCCTTTTTCTTAGATAAGTCCCTTTAACATTTCATATAATAAGGATTTGATGATGCTGAACTCCTTTAACTTTACCTTATCTGGGAAGTGTTTTATCTGCCCCTTCCATTCTAAGTGATAGCTTTGCTGGATAGAGTAACGTTGCTTTTCATGACTTTGAAAACTTGTTTTTAGCCCCTTCTTGCCTGCAAGGTTTCTTTCGAGAAATCAGCTGATAATCTTATGGGAACTCCTTTGTAGGTAACTGTCTCCTTTTCTCTTGCAGCTTTTAAGATTCTCTCCTTATCTTTAATCTCGGGTAACTTAATTATGATGTGCCTTGTTGTGTGCTTCCTTGGGTCCAACTTCTTTGGGACTCTGTGAGCTTCCTGGAAATCCTGGAAGCCTATTGCCTTTGCCAGATTGGGGAAGTTTTCTGTCATTGTTTCTTCAAATTATGTTTTCAATTTCTTGGTCTAACTTTTCTCCTCCTGGCACCCCTGTGATTCGGATGTTGGATCGTTTAAAGTTGTCCCAGAGGTTCCTAAGCCTGTCCATTTTTTTTGAATTCTTGTTTCTTCATTCTGTTCTAGTTGAATGTTTATCTCTTTCTTCTGCTCCCAATTGTTGATTTGAGTCCTGGTTTCCTTCCCTTTACTGTTGGTTCCCTGTATATTTTTCTTTATTTCACTTTGCATAGCCTTTGCTTTTTCCTCCATTTTGCAACCATACTCAATAAATTCATTGAGCATCCAGATTACCAGTGTTTTGCATCTGATAGGCTGGGTATCTGTTCATTGCTTAGTTCTACTTTTGGATCTTTGATCTGTTCTTTCATTTGGGTCATATTTCTTTGTCTCAGCACACCTGCTACGTTGGAAGGAGCAGAGCCTTAGGTATTTGGCAGGGCGGGGCAGCCCAGGTCGTTAGTTATGTTGTGATGCTGTCTGTGGGAGAGGGGTCTGAGAGGGAACAATGTCCCTTGCTTGCTCTCAGCCGGCTTTCAGTCTCTTCCCCTGGTACCCACAAGCAAATTGGGCCCTTCTAGTGCTGATTCCCGGGTGGCTGGGTTTGTGTACATTCTAGGACCCTATGGGTCTCTCTTCAGCAGACTCTTTTGTGAGGTTGGGAGTTTCTCCTGCCACTGCAACTCCCACAGGTTTTTACCTCCAGTGGTTTTGAGGCTTTCTTTTCCCACACTGTAACCCCAGATTGCTCTGTCTGTCTCTTTCCCCAGCTGTTCCTCCAGTATATCTGCACTCAAATATAGGACCACCTGTCCTGCCAGCTGCCGCCTTGCTGTGCGTCCTCTCCACCCTGGCTGCCTGTCTCTGCCCTTCCTACCAGTCTGGATGAATGTTTCTTCTCTAACTCGTTGGTTGTTGGGCTTTCATACAGTTCGATTTTCTGGCAGTTGTTGTTATTTTTTGTTTTTAAATTTGTTGCTGTCCTCCTTTTGCTTGTGCAAGGAGCAAAGTGAATCTCCCTACACCTCCATCTTGGACAGAAAGTCCCCATTTTTCTTAAGACATATTTCCAGCCTCTCAAACAACTGGGCTGACTAGCCTACCAGTAATGGTAGAACTGACCGCTAACTTGCCAGGAAAGCCAGTAACAGAATCTTAGGCTGACTAGCAGAAAAATATCATCACATTTACATATCAGACAAACAAGGCAAATGCAAATATATACACAAAGAACAAAATCCAACTCCTGCAGGAGACACAACCAGAGCAGAGACTGTTACCCGAAGATATCCTGGATTGTGCTGCAGGTGTTCCTCATCCCTCCAGAGTTAAGACCTAAATTTGGCCCTGAATAAGGCATGCTGTGGACAGTTCCTGCCCAACGAATTGGAAACCAAACATGCACCAGAAATGAAACTACCTTTCCAACAACCCTATACCCAAAACAGGATTAGAAACACTAATTACAGTGACCATAGGGGCTGACCTACCCACCTGCCTTCATAAGCACTGAACAAAACAGGTTCAGGTGGCCACTCCACTTAGCTGTCAAGACAGGCTAAGCACTAAGCAGGCATCTTCTATAAAACAGACCCCTTATTCAGTGAAGACTCAGGCAGGTAAGCCCCACATGAGCTGCCACCACTGACTGCTTCAACCGTATCCACACCAGAGTGAATCGGAGACCTTTTAAGAGAGTCTGATCTGGAGTCACCAAACTTGTGTTTGTTAGCAAACTGAAGGGATTTGCCACTTTGGGAACTCTATTCAAGAAGAAGATGTGGTTGTTGCCAGGTAGTTTTATTTACTTGAAGCACCTAAAGGAGATGGGATTCATATCCAAAGCTCTGTCTCCTGGAAGGGAGGTTCAGTCATTGCTCATATACACTATTTGGTCAATTACACTTGACTTCTTCTTTGAATTGGCTACATTTTTAGGGTTGAGACCCTGTCAAACTTATCCTGATTACAGCTGGTTTGCAAAATACTGTGCTACATTTTAACATTTGACAAGAATAACATTTACTGGCACTGGCCAGGTGACTTGATTAGAATGTTGTCCAGATACGCCAAGATTATGGGTTTGATCCCTGGTCAGGGCACAGTCAAGGATCAACTAATGAGTGCATAAATAAGTGGAACAACAAATTGATGTCTCTCTCTCTCTCCCTTCATCCCTCCCTCCTTCTCTCTAAAAATCAGTCAATAAAAAACAGCAATATTTAGTAGTAACATTTAGAACTGCCTAGACCTTGAGACCCTTGCCTTATCTAATAACGTTCTCCACCATCTATCCCCTCCCCAACTCTAACCTTCTGGACATACTTTAAAAAAAAAAAACAACCAGGCCAGTTGTCTTGTAGAATATCCAGCAAATATTCTGTATTTGTTAGATTATTTACTTGTGTTATATTTTGTTTTCTGTTCCCTATATTTTCTATGAAGTAGAAATTAACTCTAAAAGTTTGATTATACTCAGATTAAATATTGTTGGCAAGAGCATTACTTAGGAGGTTCTCTGTTCTTCATATTACATTATAACAGAGGTCATATAATGTCAGATTGTCCCACTATTAGCAACACTGAAGCTGATCACTTGATTAAGGTGACCAGCAGACAGCTTCATTGTAAAGATACATTCCCCTTTTCAATTAGCAGGTAATCTGATGGTGATACTTAGGTCCCAGTCTTTTCAGCTGTGAGCTGACCCAATAAGAGTGTAATGCTGAAAAACTGGGAACAGGTCTATGTACCTCTGATCCTGATCCATTTATTGAAAAAAAATATGAAAAGGAGTAATACAAAGCTCACTAGTTTACCCCTTCTTTAGGGTTACAGACTATACTTAATAGTAAGTGATACTTTGACCCCTTACTTGCACAATCCCCTCATGCTCTTTGGGTTCTAGTGATGGTGAAAGGCTGTTTGATGTAACAGAAGACTCATTCTGTTTCCAAACCCATAGCAGCATGTTACAGCACCAGGGACATGCTGGCTGATGGTCTCATTTAATCATGGAAGTGTTTGATGCATTGTTTTATACTTATTTCTGGCATATGATTAAGCATTCATTGCACAAATGATACAATGCAGTGTATGTGGTGTTTTACTTTTCACCACATTTTCTAAACTTCAATATTGAGTACTCTTAATTGTTAGTAGTACCTGGCTAATGATAATTTCTTTCTTAAACTCTGTGTGAATTAGCTATCCTAATTAACATATTAAACTTCCTTTCATGAAAATTCAGAAATCAGGATTGTTTTCCTCGAGCTGTTTCTATACAGATAATTTTAAAAAATACTTTTTAGGATTATTTTCCTTGAGCTGTTTCTGTCCAGATAATTTTAAAAAATACTTCTTAGTATGTTTTTTCCCCCTGAAATAAGTCAAGATATGATGAAAGTTAAAATAAGCATCTGTGTGGTGATAATTAATTGAATAGAACTATATTCTTTAAAATCTTTAATTACATAATGAATTTAAAAAGCACAAAGTCTTGATCAGAGTTACTAGTTACTACTAACAAGGAGAATGCAGCCTCTTGGCTTAAGTTCATATGAAATACAGCTTTCTTGAGTTAAAATGTAGAGTTCTAAAACCAAATTTCATGTTGGGTCAGTTTATAATTCATTGATAGTCAACGCAGAGAGAGAGAGAGAAATGTAATCACTATACTACAATTGTATGCTTTAGGAAGCAGTTCTTTGACTTACATTAACTTTTTTTTTTAACATATTACAGAGTGTTACAGAATATATACATGTTGGTTGTACAGTCTGTTATATAAGCTTTTTAGTGTTCTCTCTCCCTGGGATATTGCAGAACAGCAGTACACCTTAATCTCTTGTATATTTTATAGCTCTTAGGGGTAATGTAGAGTCTAGCACACTGTTATTCTATCAGCTGTTTCAATAAAATTAAGATGTCTGTCTCTCCTCCCATTTCAGTTTTCTCCTAGAAAATTACTGGGAAGAAGAATGTTATTTTAACAATTTTGGCAGAAATTACAGTTTAGTCAGAGCTCTAGGATAAGCGTTTCCTGTATGCTTATAGACAGCCCTCCCTTACCTAGGATAGACCAGATGGAGGCAGCAGATGAGTCAGTTGCTAATAGTCAGCTGATACTATCTTCCCTTTGTCTGCTGCTTTTCCTATCCCCACCTCCTCTTACTGTTTTCTTTCTGCTTATGTTTGTGTTAACCTTTCAATGACTATTTAAAGGCATTGGTTAAACCCTGCTGGCAAAGTTACGATAGTTTAATAGTGATTTATACTCAAAACTAATGGCTCTGCCCCTACACAAAATGATTGCATTGCTAGTGGGAATGGCTTGGCAACAATTAGTAAGTTCTTACTTCAGGAGAACATATCTGAAATAAACAGTTATTATTTAACTAATTTTGAAATGTTTCTCTGATGATCAGTTCATTGTCACAATTTTGTTTTACTTGTAGGTGAAGTTAAAATGAACTATTTGGGCAAACCATATGTAGCCATGGTTACAACATACCAAATGGCAGTTCTTCTAGCTTTTAACAACAGTGAAATTGTCAGCTATAAAGAGCTTCAAGACAGCACTCAGATGAATGAAAAGGAACTGACAAAAACAATCAAATCATTACTTGATGTGAAAATGATTAACCATGATTCAGAAAAGGTATGGGAATTTAAAGGTTAAGGAATTTAAGCATTATAAACATTAAAGCATTTTCATGGGATATTCAGTATTGAAAGTAGGTTATAATTGTTAATGCCCTTGCTACATTGGAAAGCACTTGAATCAGCTACATTACTGCCAGTTTTGTACAGCTGTGAACTTGAAGAGTCACAGAGAAGGCTATGTAAGTTGGTGCCTATGTATGTGCCCTTGATAGTTTGATTTCATTTGCCATCTACCATGACAGTTTACTGAAAAATTGGAAAAGAATTGCCACTGGGGGTACTTTGGTTAATTGAGGTTGAAAACTATAGTTTATCATAAAACTTTGTTTCTGCTTTTTTTCGCCATGTGTTTAGTTGAATTGCTTGGTTCTGTTGATGTCATTTGTACGATGTTTAAAATGTGTAACTTTATCCCCAATGCTCTCACTCTCATGTCCTTTAATTTCAGGACTCAAACAGCCAGCATATTTTTTAATATCTGTCATGAGACTAGGAAGGCAATAATGGTATATTCCTCTTCTTCTTTAAACTTTTTCTTTCCAGTAATAAGTGTTTGTTATTGTAGTATACTTCATAATTAAATGGTTTTTAAAAAGCAACAAATGTAGGTTAAATCGCCTACTTCAAATTATTGTGCCTATAAGAAAAAAATTCTTATAAATGATATTTCATTCTTATTTTGGTAAAGTTAATAGTCTACAATTTATTCCCCTCATCAATTCATTCTGCTGATATTCCCTAAGATTAATATTTTTAAATTAAAATTAAAGTTTAAATTTTTAAGCCTGTTATTATTAGAAGTTATATATATTTTTAAAACACATTAGATTTGCTGCCCAAAAATGTACAAAATAAATATAGATTGCTTGTTTCAATTTTAAACATTAAACATTAAATTTTAATTATGAATCTGGCAGTTTCTTAGAATTCCTTGGGTTATTACTGAGAACGAATCTATCTGCCAAGTGCGTCTTGATCCTGCTGATAGAGAATGTCCACTATATGATATGAGAGGTTTTTTTTAAGCCTGATAGAAGTTGTGATTCAAAAAATTGGCTTAAAAACTTTCACTTGAGAAAAGGACATTTTCTTCTGGCAAAGTGAATAAAATATGAACTGAAGAGCAAACTCTTATCAGAATCACACCAGGGTGGTGGAGAAATGATACTTGTGTGTCACTGGAAAGAACTTGCTTTAATAGTCAAGTTATTTACAATTGGTATTTTGTTATTGCAGCACTTAAAAAAAAACACTTGGTTCAGTTTTTCAAAACAAGATGATGGAAAAATTATGAGTCTGGGTGTTTCATAAAAATTAAAATGTTAAATTCTGTTTAATTCAATGAGCTTGACTCTTTTTGTCTTACCCAAAGGCGATATATGTAATAGTCAGGCCAGAAAATTGCTTATTTATTTAATCTAAACTGATTAAAATTCTATCAAGTGTAAAATTAAAAAAGAATTACTTTTTACTTCTTTGACAGAAGGCATTTATTTTCCTCTTAAATAATTTTTATAATGTATAAGATGAGAGTTTAGGGTATTTTTGCTTGGTTATTTCATAGCATACTATTTGTAGCAACTCATGTAATGATTTTTTGTATTATACATATAAGGGAATTATTTTTAATTATAGGAAGATATCGATGCAGAATCTTCATTTTCATTAAATATGAACTTCAGCAGTAAAAGAACAAAATTTAAAATTACTACATCAATGCAGAAAGATACACCACAGGTAAGTGCTTTTCTATGTTATTTATTATGGAAATATTTAAACATTGTACTATGCAAGTAGTAACATTAAGATGATACAAAACTGCACACCAAAATTAATAATATGCATCTTTTCTGGTTTATTCTTTGTATTTACTAACCTTTCAAACAAAATCTGGCAGTATTTTAGATTTTAAAAACAGTAGTATAATGTGTATCTAAGGAAAAAGGTGTTGCATTGCTCTTAAACTAAATATATTACTCTACTTTCTATGTTTTCAAAAATTCCTACCTTGAGTAGTAACTTAATCTCCGATATTTTGCATTTGTAAAATAAGGGAAGGTTTTACAATACATCACTTCAAAAGAAATGTTATTAAAAATGCTTCTCAAACTTTGATGTGCAAGTGGACCATGGGGAGATCTTGTCAAAACTCAAATTGTGATCTGTGAGATGTGGAGTGGGTTCCAGACTATCAGATGACCAGTTTGCTTGTGTGCTGTTGATTCTTTTAACCTAGCAGTGATTATTACTTAGTTCAGGGATAACCTGTTCATATCACTCACGTTTCCTTATTGCCACCTATGTGCCACCCTGTCTTTGGGTTTGGGACAGGATGTGAAGGCATATATCAGGCCCTCTTCAGAACCTTTCCCCCTGGGCAGACAAATATTAAAGAATAGCTATTACATTTGAACCCTTAAATATTCAATATTCTATTTTCCTTTGGACTAATGAATAAAAATTTGTAATATATGGGTTGTATTTTATCTTCTTTTTAAAATATAGTCGTTATTGCTGTTTTGTCCACTACCATTAGTTCCCTTATACTCCCCTCCACCCAGCAATCACTGTACTGTTGTCCACGTCCATGAGTCCTTTTTCCTTTTGCTCAGTCCCTCCACCCCCACCCTCCCCACTACTTGGAGCTGTCATCCAGTTCCCCATTTAGTAGTCTGTTTCCATTTTCCTTGTTAGTTCAGTTTGTTCACTGGATTCCACCTATGAGTGAAATCACGGTATTTCTCTTTCTTTGGCGTATTTCACTTAGCATTACATTTTCCAGCTCAGTTCATACTGTCGCAAAGGGTAAAATTTTCTTCTTTTTTACAATCAAGTAGTATTTCATTATGTAAATGTCCCAGAGTTGTTTCATTCACTCATCTACTGATGGACATTTGGGCTGCTTCCATATCTTGGCAATTGTAAATAATGCTGCAGTGAACGTAGGGGTGCTCATGTTCTTTTGAATTAGTGTTTTGGATTCGATATAGTCCCAGATGCTGGGTTGAAAGGCAGATCCATTTTTAAATTTTTGAGGTACATCCATACTGCTTTCCAGAGTGGCTGCACCGATCTGCGTTCCCACTAACATTTCAGAAAGGTTCCCCTTCCTCCATATCACCACGAGCACTTGTAGTTTGTTGACTTATTGATGATAGCCATTCTGACAGGTATGAGATGATATCTCATTGTGGTTTTAATTTGCATTTCTCCTACGATTAGTAACATTGAGCATTTTTTCATATGTCTGTTGGCCTCTTACCTGTATGCCCTCTTTAGAGATGTGTCTACTCAGGTCCTTTGCCCATTTTTTAATTGGGTGGTTTGGTTTTTTTGGTGTTGGGTTTTGTTAGTTCTTAATAAACATTGGATATTAACCCCTTATCAGATGTATTGGCAAATATGTTCTCCGATTCATCCCACAGGATGTCTTTTTATTTTGTTGATGATTTCCTTTGCTGTGCAAAAACTTCTTAGGTTGATGTAGTCCCCATTTGTTATTTTTTCTTTTATTTCCTTTGCCTGGGGAGATATATCCAAATAAAATATTGCCCTGAGCAATGACTGAGACTTGGCTAACTATGTTTTCTTCTATGATTTTATGGTTTTGGGTCTAAAAGTTAAGTCTCTAATCCATTTTGAATTTATTCTTGTGTGTGGTGTAAGAAGGTGGTCCAGTTTCATTTTTTTTTTTTTTTTTTTTTTTTTGCACATGTCCATCTGATTCTCCCAACACCGTGTATTGGATAAACTGTTTTTAGCCTATGGTATGTGCTTGCTTCCCCTGTCGAATATTGACTATAAAGGTGTGGGTTTATTTCTGGGCTCTCTATTCTGTTCCATTGATCTGTGTGTGTATTTTTATGAGAGTACCAGGCTGTTTTGATTACTATGGCCTTATAGTATAGTTTGAAATCAGGTAGTGTGATTCCTCCAACTTTGTTCTTCATTCTCAGGATCACTGTTGCTATGCAGGGCCTTTTGTGGTTCCATATAAATTTTTGAAATATTTTTTCTAGTTCTGTGAAATATGTCATTCAACTCTTCCTAAGAATTACATTGAATCTGTCAATTCCTTTGGGTAGTATGGACACTTTAATGATGTTAATTCTTCTAATCCATGAACACAATATGTGCTTCCACTTACTTGTATCTTGTTCAGTTTCTTCCTTCAGTGTCTTATAATTTTCTGAATACAAGTCTTTTACCTATGTGGTTAGATTTATTCCTAGGTATTTTATTCTTTTTGTAGCAATTGTGAATGGGATTGTTTTCTTAAGTTTTCTTTCTGTTAATCAATTATTGGCATATAAAAATTTCCTGATATTAATTTTGTATCCTGCTACCTTGCTGAATCCATTTATTAGTTCAGGTAGTTTCTTGGTGGAATCTTTGCAGTTCTCTTGGTACTGGATCATGTCACCTGCAAATAAAGACAGTTTTACTTCTTCCTTTTGAATTTGGATGTCTTTTATTTCTTCTTCTTGCCAGATTGCTGTGGCTAGGACTTCCAGTGCTATGTTGAATAAGAGAGCTGAAAGCAAACATCCTGTCTTGGACCTGATCTTAAGGGAATGCTTGTAGTTTTGTCTGTTGAAATGATGTGGCAGTGGATGTGCCATATGTGGCCTTTATTATGAGGGAGCTCCCTCTCTTCCCACTTTGCTGAGAGTTTTTATCATAAATGGGAGCTGGATTTTATCAAATGCTTTTTCTGCATTCATATTTTTATCCTTCATTTTGCTTATGTGGTGAATCACATTTATTGACTTGTGAATGTTGTGCCAACCTTGCATTCCTGGAATTAATCCCACTTGATTGTGGTATATGATCATTTTGATGCATTGCTGTATTTGGTTTGCTAATTTTTGTTGAGGATTTTAGTGTTAAGTTCATCAGGAATATTGGCTTACAGTTTTTCTTTTTTTGTAGTGTCTTTATCTGGTTTTGCAATTAGGATAATCCTGGCCTACTAAAATGAGCATGGGAGACTTCCCTCCTCTTGAATTTTTAAAAATAGTTTGAGACGGGTAGGTGTTAGTTCTTCTGGAATGTTTGGTAAAATTCACCTGTATAGCAGTCTGGCCTAGGGCTTTTGTTTGTTGGAAGTTATTTTATTATTGCTTTAGTTTCACTGGTCTAATCCATCTATTAAGAGTCTCTGATTGTTCCTGATTTAGTTTTAGAAGATTGTATGTTTCTAGTTTATCCATTTCATGCATGTTGTCCAGTTTGATAGCATATAGTTATTCATAATATTTTCTTACAGTCTTTTGTATTTCTCTGGTGTCAATTGTTATTTCTCATCTGTCATTTCTGATTTTATTTATTTGGGTCCTCTCTCTTTTTTCCTTGATAACTCTGGTAAACGGATTGTCAATCTTGTTTAACTTTTCAAAGAACCAGCTCTTGTATTCATTAATCTTTTGTATCTTTTTTTTAGATTTTGTTTCATTTATTTCTGCTCTGATCTTTATTATTTCCTTCTTTCAATTCACTTTGTGCTTTGTTGTTCTTTTTCAAGTTCCCTTAAGTGTAAAGTTAGACTGCTTACTTGAGCTTTTTCTTCTTTTTTTTGAGATAAGCCTATAATGCTATGAATTTCCCTCTTAAGGATTGCTTTCCCAGTGCCCCACAGACTTTGCATTGTTGTGTCCTTATTTTCATTTGTTTCAAGGTATCTTTTGTTTTCTTCCTTGATCTCGTTGTTGACCCATTCATTATTTAATAACATGTTATTTAGCTTCCATGTCTTTGTGTGTTTTTCAGTGTTCTTCCTGTGAATGATTTGTAGTTTCATAGCATTGTGGTCAGAGAGGATGCTGGATATGACTGCAGTCTTCTTAAATTTATTGAGACTTGTTATGTCCTAATATGTGTTCTATCCTAGAAAATGTTCAATATGCACTTGAAAAGTGTGTGTATTCCAGTGCTGTGGGGTGAAATACTCTGAAGATATCAATTAAGTCTATCTGATCTAGTGTGTCGTTTAAAGCCGCAGTCTCCTTGTAGATTTTCTGCCTGAAAGAGCTATCCATTGAAGTCCATGGGGAGTTAAAATCCCTGACTGTGACTGTACTTCTGTCATGTTCAGTCTCTCCCTTCATGTTTATCAAGATTTACTTCATATATTTTGGTGCTACTATGTTGGGAGCATAAATGTTTACTAGGGTTATATCCTCCTATTGGATCGTTCCAGTTGTGATTATGTAATGTCTGTCTTTGTCTCTTACTATAGGTTTGGTTTTAAAGTCTGTTTTGTTGCACATAAGTACTGCTACTCCAACTTGTTTTTCTTTCCATTTGCATGACGTATCTTTTTCCATCCTTTTACTTCTAGTCTATGTGTATGTTTTGATCTGAGGTGGGTCTCTTGGAGGCATCATATATATGGCTCTTGTTTTCTTATCCATTCAGCTACCCTGTGTGTTTTTTTTTGAAGTAGTTAAGCCATTTATATTTAATATAATTATTTTTCTTTTTAATTTTTTAAATTTAATTTAATTTAATTTTATTTTTAAATTCATAAATCCTGTTTATTCTATCACAGTTATCTCAGTTTTTACCCCTTTACCCCTCTCCACCCATCCCACCCCTCACTCCCACAGTCAATTCCCACCTGTTGTCCATGTCCATGGGTCATTCATACATGGTCTTTGTCTAGTCCCTTCTTCTTTCCACCATTGTCCTCTTTCTCCATCTCCTCTGGTCACTCCCAGTCTGCTCCATGTCTCCGT